GAAAATACCTAGTCTTGATTTGCAACCCTGGAGACATCTGCAATGTGAACTTGTTGCCGTTACCCCCCGCTGCCCCCCCACCCCCGCACTATAAAAGAGGTATTCAAGCTAATTCTGGAGTCTTTTGCAGTAGAAATGTGGCATTAAGAGTTGATAGTGCTAATTCTATTTTTTGCCAACAATTTGCTTATACCATTGGAGTATTCCTTTAACATCTGCAAATTATGCCGTAATTCCAAGGTGGTTCAGTGATGGGGGTCATTTGAACTGCGCATGTTAATTCATCTGTGTCGCAGTGTTCATTTTGGTTACTCTTCTCAGCCAGTTTTGTTCGATTATATTATCAGGACAAGTGGCGAGATGCTTTTCATAAATAGATGGTGAGGGGGGTTGCGGGTGCGAAAGAAGCTGTGATAAAAGTTACACTTATTACTATTAAGAAAATAAATGTGTAAAGCTGGCAGCTCCCTTAGTGCTATGTGGTAAACTGCATTTAAAACTTGTCATTTGCAGACTGCATGGTTTGTTGTATTCTTGTGTGTTCTTTTTCCGAGCTTTTAAAGTAAATCAGATTAAATGTGCACATAACATTTATTTCTTATCTATATTCTCAAAATTAAACGTGCATGCTTGGGTGCAAAGGCAGCACTGCCACATGTCTTTGTAAGATAAGACATGGTTCATAACAGAGTACTGTATTTGTGTAATACTGTACATTTTATCCATCACAAAGTGTTACTTTAGCAGGTGGACTGGATGCAGCAGTTAAAATTGCATACAGTTTTATATCCAGTCTAGACAGTTCCGGAGATGGGGGAGTGGGTGAGGTTTTTTTTCCTTTCTCTTTGATGGCTATTGTATATCCTTTCTAAAAAGAAATGGATTGTGACTGTCTCAGTTAAGTTTGTGGTGGAAATGAGTCACATTACAGTACAAAATCTGGCCGTTTGATACAGTTGCGCTTAATTTGCCAGTCTTGTTGAATAAAAGTTAGGCTAGCATTTAGGTAACTGTTGTGAGATCACTGCTCTTTCCTCCTCCCTTTCTCCCCACTATCCCAAGCATGAATTGGGAGTTTTGATTCTTTATGTGAAGAGTAGGGGAGCGAGTGCTTTATGAACCACTGTAAGTTTACACAATGAATGCATTAATGCCAGACTGCCTGAAGTTAAATTAACTAGTTTTCTTCATGTTTGATCACACAGATTTGTTTTTTTTTGGATGTTTGATTTATGAAAAACTGGAATTCCACATAGCAAACTCCCACAATCTAACTTTCAGTAGTATCTTATCTGGCTGGATCTGAGTATGAATAACCATCTGCATCAGGCAACTTGACTCTTAGTTATTGCAACTTTTTTTATATGAATTTAGAGTGTACAATTATTTTTCTGATTTTCTTCCCATTGGTATACACCTCTCTGCTCCTGGCTCTGCCTCCTCTTGCTGGGGTGTGGTTCCATAGGTGCTGGTTACCCTCTGATACCCCTCCCAAGTGACCAGTGTTAATGTGTGGGCCTTGATATTGTCCACAGGCCACTTGACTGATGGCATCGCAGCCAACCCTGACTTCCCCTATCTGGCTACCACACACACACACAACCAGTAAAGGGTGGTGTAAAAGGATCAAGAGCAGGAACCAGGCTAGTTTCCCCCTCCCTAACCCTGGGAAGATTGGGGACCATATATCCTCCTGCTGCAGGGTGAGACCAGTAAATACAGCATGGACTGATTCAAACTAGAGAGCCAAATGGCATAAGCTGCAGCTCTATCCACTACATCACTGGGGCTGTCCATTTCAACATTTATACATTAATGCACCAAGTTTTCGAATGAGGAATGGATGGATATTTGATTTAGTAAAATTTATGTATTGATGTAAATTGATTCTGTATTTGGACATGGCCTATTCTGTGTCTTGTGAAAGGAATTAAAACAAGGCCTGAGAACAAGGCTATACAGTGTATGACTTAACACTGGATTGCCATAATGTTAAAATGGTCTGTGTTTGAAGTGTTTTTTCTTTCTAAAAAAAAGTTAATGCCTGAAACTTCCTGCTTGTTAGAGTTTGTCTTCCCCTTATTTACCTATTTCATTTCAAGCAAAACAGGTTTGAAGGGTGGAAAATTTAAAAATATCTTGAATGCCTGTGTGTTGTGTTTTGGGGCAGAGGGTGGGGTGGGGGGGAGTGGTCACGTGTTAGCACAGTTATTCTCACCTGGCTGATCCTTGAATGTCATGTGGGAATGAATGGGAAAGTGAAATTGCTACATGGATTGTGCTTCCTTGCTAAGTGGGGAAAAAACGACTGCGTTGAAGCTACTCATTCTGATATGAGGGTAGAGCTGGTTCACAAGATTTTAGAAGCATTTTGTTTTGAATGCAACAGAGGTGTTAGCTTTTCTAACACTGACTGTGGAATTTGAGGAGTACTGCTCCTTAAACTAGTCCAGCCGTTGACTGCTTTGTCACTTGTCTCAGAGCAGGCCTGATGAGCGGGCCTGTTACCTAAAATTGACGTGGGCTTTGCGGGTAGGAAGCTCTCGTGTGCTGTTGACCTGACTGCGAGGAAATGGAGGGCCTTGTTTGCAGACTCAACTCCATCTGCTGGTCTGATTCAGAACTGGAGACCTGTTTCTCGGCAATCCTCCGCCATCCTAAACGATCAATACTTTTCTTCCTTAACTTCCCTTTCCCCTCACCTCCTTCCCCCCCTTACCCCCCTTCTCCCTCCCCCGACACTTATCTCAAAGTTGAGGCAAATGAGATCAAATCAGTTGAGACAGCTTAGCCTCGTTTCGTGGCACTGTACTTGTTTTAATCTCTGAGGGCAGTATGAAGCCACTTGGTTGCCTTGGTCTTTAATTACAGTCTGAGTAAGAAATGGGAGCCACTGCATTAGAGTGGTTATGAACCACAGTGGAGTGAGCGTGTAAAGTGTTAGCAAGAAAATTGTTCAACTGCTGACAATCATTGGAAACGTGAGCCTTGATGGAATGAATATATTCTATGAAGGTTATAGAATAGTCTTGGGAGAGTACCAGAAGTCGCTCTAAACTGTTTTCATTTACACTAGAAATCCTAATTGAAGATTTATCAATGGGAAAGATGTCCATCCACTCTAAGTGAAAAGAGAGGGTTCATAGTCTTGAATTTTTTTCACAAATCCACGTTGAATGTCCATTCAGACATTCATGTAATATTTATGAGTCATTTATTACTTTGCCAGAAATATCAGTTATTATAGTATTGATAGCTTGCTTAGATGATGGCAAATGTCTAGAGAAACTCTTTCAGCAGTGAATTGCATTCCATGAACAGAGATGTAAAGGAGTCTGTTTAAAGTGGGTTGTAACTTTTCAAACCTTTCTTCCAGGCCCCTGGACAACACAGCTTCAACTTACTGAACTAAGTAGATTCAGAATAAATAAGTGTTTTTAGTTCATTATGTGTTTTTAAATTTCACCCACAAATAGTATCAATCTACTTTACAATATATTCTCTGAAGCATTTTGAGATGTCGCAACGACGTGGTAAGGTGCTATATCAAATACAAGGATTATTTATTATAAATTAGCATTCAAACGTCACTTATTTGGAGTCCTGTAGCTCAGTGGTTAGAGCACTCGCTTTGCAAGTGAGAGACCTGAGTTCAATTCCAGGCAGAGGGCGAAACCTTGGGCAAGTTTCCTTACTCCACACGCCTAATAATAATCCCTCCAAAACCAAAAACAATAATAAATTGGTCATTTTCAATCTACGACTGTTTGTGGGACATTGCTGTGCACAATTGGCTGCCGCGTTCGCCCACAAATATACAGTCAATTCACTTTACAGTGTGTTCTGTGAAGCGCTTTGGGACGTCCTCCCGATGTGAAAAGCGCTATATCAAATGCAAGGATTATTAATATTATTATTATTCTGTAGCCAGCATAACTGAGAATCTTTCACGAAACTTGTGGATTACTTTGGTTTCAGTTTCAGCCCCGGATCAGAGCATGATCTGGATTGAACTTCCCACACCAATCTAATGAAGGCAAAGCAAGGCATAAAGCTGAAGGGTATCTAGCATTGGTGCACTGGCACTATTCCAAGCTTGGTCCGGGGTATATTTTCCTGGGAAACAATGTATACACTGCTGTTATTTGTGTAAAATATGAGTGCATTTTTGAGAATAACCTTGGTGCTGTATCATTGTGTCACCAGCTCTTCTGTCACGTAATTCAAAGCGAAACCTTGTTAGGGCAATGGTGAAAGGCAAGTTACCTACGGGAAGAGTACACGCAAATTAGAATGCAAAGCTCAGGTGTAATATATAAAAATTCTAAATTGCCATAACGGTGATAAGCATAAGCAGAGATGTGTCCAGCGGGGCACACAATAAGAGGGCGTTTGCTCTCACTGGACACGTGGTCTGGGAATCTCATGGATGCATTGTAATAACAGTAAGATAGTGCACTTCCTCAGTTTAAAACCACGTGCACAATGCACAGCTTCCTTTTATGTTAATGAGCCGGTGCTTGCAATTCATCCTATTGATCTTGATTACATTTTGAACCTAAAGAGAGGATTGTTATTACAAATTAAATCTGAATTGGGTCAATGAGCTCGTGTATATTTATACTGTTGTTAGATGATTGGCGGATCACTTTCCAGAGGTAATCCTTTATATAAAAATAAAAAAAATTGGCTCACTTAATTCTTGACTGTTTGTGTGACACTGTTGTGTGCAGTTAGCTGCTGTATTTTGCCCACAAAATATACAGTCACTACAGTAATAATAATCTTTGTATTTTTATTTGTATATTCTGTGAAGCCTTTGAGACGTCTCAATGATGTGATAAGGTGCTAATATCAAATGCAAGAAGTATTAGTATTATTTATATTTATTGAATGATTATCTAGTGCAGTAAAAGCTACTGTTCTGTTTCTGCCCAACTATTGTAATGTGAAGGATGTATGACGAGAAATCTTTCTTTTCCCCCCACCCCTCTCCCCAGTTGGAAGATGGCCATACACTGTTTGATTACAACGTGGGACTGAATGATATCATCCAACTTCTGATCCGCCAGCCTTCGACCTCCACGGCGAAGAAAAAGGAAAATGAGATTGAGCTATCTGACAGCGACTCCGGCTGTGGTTCTTCGCAGAGCGAATGTGACAAAACCTCCAGCGGGGAAAACAATAAAAAGAATCGTCCAACCACATCGACTCGATCATTTCTCATAGATCCAGGCTTCGGGTTGTACAAGGCAAGTTGTGCTTTAATCGTTTAAACTATTTCCAACATGGGATGCGTAATCTTGAGTAACTGTAAACGCTTGGTAATTTTGAGCTCAACTCAGGAATATTATTATTAACCTTGAGCTCGCTGCTAATAAATTGATAATTGTATGCATTCCAATGCAATATACAGCTGTTATTTTCAGTAAGGAAAAACACAGCAGTGTTATGGTGTAAGTTGGAAGCATTCGCATCTGGGTCAGTACATTGTTGGTTTGAGCGCCTTGTTGAGACTTTGAGCTTAGAGTTCAGGCTGACATTGGGGGAGTTCTACATTGTCAGAAGGAAATGCTGTGCTTTGGATAAGACATTGGATCATCAAAATGTTTGTTCAGTTAGCCATTAAAGATCCCATGGCACTACTTGAAAAAAGTAGTTTCTCCTTCCTGGTGTCCTGGCCAATAATTCTCCAGATAAAATTGGTTGTTCACTTTGTCGGTTAGTGGGACATTGCCTTTTGTTCAAATTAGTTGAACTTAGTTCAAAATTCAAAGCACTATCAAACGCAAGGATGATTTTACAACGATCTCAGTTTGCTTTGAATTCACTTGGTTGAGCCATATCGATGATGGAGGTTTTTAGTTCAGTCTTTCCAAGGGTGCAGCTAGAATGGTAGTTGGTCTTGCTGTGCTTGATCCGAGGAGACAGCGGGAAGCTGCAATTTTCATCTATTTATTGCGATCTGGTGGCTCCTGTTGGAAAATCCACACGTCAGTGGCAGGCAGAGCAGGCTTGGCTGTGGTGTCCATTTATCCTCTCGTTGAAATTCCCAATTAACATAAACATTCACAAATGAGTCTTCATTCATTGTCTCATGTCAGGTCCCATCTGCCTGTTCAGGTGGATGTTTAAAGATCCCATGGCACAATTCAAAAAGAGAAGGCAGTTTCTTACGATGTCCTGACCAAGAATTGCCCCAAATTTATATATATATATATATATAAAAAAAATTGTTACTCACTCCATGGAGGTTTGTGGGACATTTCTGTGCAACTGGCTGCCTTGTTTCTCCCACAACATACACAGTCAATCCACTTTACAGGATATTTTGTGAAGCGCTACATCAAATGCAAGGATTATTATTAGGGTGAAGGCGGGTGGGTGAGGTTGAGAGCCTCAAGAATCGAGTTACGTCCACCCTGGAGATTTTTGTGATCTGAAAAGACCCTTTCCATAACGAAGACATGGAGTTGGCGGCTGATGGAGCCCCATTTTGTTTTCCCTGCTGTAATTCTTGAGATGGTGCCAAAAAGGGCCGCACAACAGCTCTCTGTCTAAACCAGTGTGTGAGATATCTGGTTGCCAGTGCAGGATTCATTTGAATTTACTTTTTTTCAGATATATATTGAAACAAGTGGGTTTATATATAAATGTAAATTCATATTCTATCTACATATTGTGCCGATCTGTACTGAATGTGTTGCAGAGAGTGAAATGGAGGGTCTTGTAACACCATCCCACTCAGCTTTCCTGCACTTTCTCTCTTCCCCCGCGCCCCCAACCAGCTGGACTGTCTGTCAGGACACGGACTGCCTGAGACTCTTGGCTAGCCTGCAGGTTGGGTGGGGAAGTCCTGGTTCTATTTAAAATGGTGCCTGGTGACTTTGTAAGAGAGGCTTTGTTAGTTGTTTTATATTGCACGAGTAAAATAACAGATAGCGAGCTCTTTATAAAATTGAGCGGTTAGCAGTTTTACATTGTGCAGTTTAATGGAAGGTCAGTAGTTTTAAATGTTAGCTGCATAACGTAATATAAGATAACCTTTTCAATATTTTCCATTCACTGCAGTCAGCACCAGGTGAAGGGATGTCCCAGTGCGCAACTTGTACATAAAGTGGTTTGCCCAATGCTGCCGGAAGGGTACTATCAGAAACCACAAAGCAAATTGGTATATGGGTGGGTGGAATGTGGCAGTGCGCTGGAGGTGGTAAAATGGTGTATTCAGATCAAGTGATAAAATGTAGTTGCGTGGAAAAAAGTGGTTTGCAAAGATATCAAAGACAAGAAACTGATTATGGTAGTGAGAACAATTGATTGTCTGTCTCGGTCGCAGTTGGGTCACTCTATAGGTTGGCTGAGGCTTGTTACAACTTCATCAATTATAGTCTCTGAATTGTACGAGCCGGAAACAGTGATTGTTCTTATTGTGAGCATGTAAATGTCGCCAGTTCAATTTCTGTCCTGAACTATCTTTTTAAATGAGGTTTATTGCTTTCTGTTCTTTCGAATATTTCATCGTTATTTGAACACTTAAATTAGTAGGAACCAAAGTCTTTATTGTTTGGTCATTGAGGAGGGCAGAGCGAGAGATTCTGCTCTGTGCTCCTGAGACACTACACCTCATGAAGAGCGCTATATAAATGCAAGTTACTGTTGAATCAAAGCCATATTTTGAAATCTTTGTATTCGTATTCATTCCAAGCCATGTACAACAAAAAGCTTCAGTTTGGAGTCGAGAGATTTGAATGTGGCACAGTTACCTCAATCATTCAAATAGTAATTGCTTGATAACTACATAAAAGTTTCTGACCTTGTGATTATGCAAATTGATGGATGTAGTGGTGTTGTATTAAGGAAGACTTTGATTGTGGGTTAAAAGAGATTTATTTTAAAGCTACATTTCTCTTAACAATTACTGACCTATAAATAGGCACTACGTTTGCCAGTAATTACCTGCAAAGTACTTTGAGGTGTTTCGATGTTGTAGATACTGTGTCAAACGCAAGGATTATTCCAATTATTATTAACAATAATATTTGATTTTGATATAGTGACTTATCATGTTGTTGAGATGTCTCAAAGCACTTCACAGCATAATAATAATAATAATCCTTGCATTTGATGTAGGATATACTGTAAAGTGGATGATTATTAGCTTATTAATAAATGATTATTAGCCTTTGATGTGCATAATACATATTTTTGAATACCAAGACCTTTAAAGAATGCGTTAATACAGTGGAGCTTCAAAAATATTGATCTATAGCTTTAACTACATTACCAAGCAGTATTTCAGTTAAAGGGATCAGATAATCCTAAGAATAATGAAAACTAAACTTGAGTGGTTTGTTATCTGAACACCTGTAAATGTTTGTAAAGGTATGTTGAGTGCAATGAGCTGTTGATGCTTCCTTAGATCTAGCAGTGATGAGGTGCAGTTGGAGAGATTGAGAGTGTCAGACTAAGAAACGGAGCAGTTCATATTACAGGAATCCAGAATTCTTACTTGTGAACTTATGCTTTCCATTACATAATGTTTACGTTCCAGCACAGCCTTTGGTGCCAGCCATGTGTTCAGCAAGAAAATTGCAATGTAAATAAGGTGCTGTTGGTATTGTCTCTGAAGCCACTTGTTTGTGAATCTCAAAGTGGGTCCAAATCTCACCTGGGTCAGCTGGGATAGGCATTGCATCTAGTTTACACAAGGTACATTGATTCTCATGTTTTAGGTGGATTGAGTTGAAGGTTTGAGCTGTCACCAACCCATCCTTGCAGGCCAGACATGTGGTCTTGGCATTGCTGGCTTGTTTGTTTGGACCTATCCCAGAGATTTGGAAAATTCTGCGGCCAGAGAACATCACAAGTTGGAAACAACTGCACACGCACAAGCTAAACATGTGCAGTTCTTGGCACTTTGGATTCTGCCCCACAGTGTATACGGGGTTTGATTGTCCACGGAGAGAAATTATTTCCAACGGTCAGTGCGCCAGTGACTAGAGGGCATCAGTTTAAGATAAATAACTAAGGGGGAGATGAGGAGCAATTGTTCGTTTACACAGAGAGTTGTTAAGATGTGGAATGCCTGGCCAGGCTTTCTAGTCCAAGCAAAATCCATGTTGTTTTTCAAGAGGGAACTGGATTGACATCTTATGGATTTGCCAGGGTATAGGGAAAAGGCAGGAAATTCAGGCTGAACAACACAAATTTGCATTTTATAACTTGTATTTTCTTGCATTTATATAGCGCCCTTCACATGGGGTTGCGTCCCGGAGCGCTTTGAAAGATCAGAAATCTTACAAAGAGACAGCACAGACATGATGGGCCAAACGGCCTTCTATTGTGTTGTAAATTTCTATGTAAACAAACAGGATCCGAGCACCAGCTTCAGGCTGTTTCAGATACTGTTCTATTCCTGCAATGTAAACTGTCATCAGCGGATGAGAGACATTCTTGGACTCTATCCTGACAGGCAGTTGAAAGATGAGCACATAATAGAAACTTGCAAATGTTGGAGAGTTCAAATTCAATTTGTCAAATCTCCCAAGTTTTTTTTTGAGTAAATTTTCTAACAACAAAATCAGATATTAGTGCAATTCATTGACCAGGAAAGTTAGCCAATTTTTCTTTTTTTAAAAAAATTAAGTCAATGGCAGCATTTTCATGAAGTTGGTTTACTTTGGACTGTAAAACCCAAAATAAATTGGTATCACTCACAGAAAACGTTTAACTGCTGTTTTGGTTGGAAAAAAATATTATTTTCCAAACTGAAGCTGGTCTTATTTTAATATTTGACCTATAGTTGATACCATACAATGTCTTAAATGCCGTTGGTCTTTCCTCCTGGCATGATGCAAATTATTTTCTGTTTTTGTCGTAAACATTTTTATTATAAAACACACTTAAAACAGCCATGGAGTGAGTGACCAATTTTATTTGTGAGATTATTGGCCGGGACATAGGGAGAAACTCCGCACTCTTTTGTAATAGAGCCACATGATCTTTAACATCCACCTGAACAGACTGGACCTCAGCTTAACACTAACATTTTATTTCCTTTGAGTGACAATGCATGTTGCATTCTATTGGAGGCAACAGTTGTTTGCCTTTTAGGGAAACATTTTCTATACTCAGAAGTTCAAATCGCTCCTGGAGAAAATCAGTCTGGTCTTTCTGTTGAGTTTCAAGTATCATTGAGCAGTCCGAAGGATGGTTCATTCTGAACAAGTGGTCCAAATCCACTGAACAAGTG